ATTTATACTATATCTCAAAAAAGTTCACCCCCATTTAAAAACAAGATTAATAGAATATAAGAAATGTTATTTTGCAACACATGTTCCAGTACTTTATAGAAAACTAACAAACATGAATAATTAAAATAATTTTACAGTGTATTTGACAATAAGTATTTAATGTTAAGTTTTTCTATCCTATGGCACAAAAACACGAAATCTTGCATCACTTTTACTGCACGTTCTGCACATATGTTTGACTATTGTGTTGAAATCAGTGATGGCTCTGTGGACCAAAATGTTTTCAACAATTTTAATGACGTTCATGGGGTGATTTAACGATTAAATCACCCCATGAACCACAGATGAAGTTGCATGCTGCTTGAGCAGATTTCGATTCTTGATTGTCTGATATTAGAATGTAAGCAAGTAAAACAAAAATTGCTCTTGAGTTCCATCTTGCATTGCTTATAGCAGGAAGTGCTTTAAAATTCACTTTTGGAAAGATACCCTTTTAAACTTTCTATAACAAGCTATTAAGTGATGCAGGAAGTCCATGTTATCTCGCCAGCGTGTCCAATTCACTTTTATCAAAGCATCTCCAGTATTCTGAAATAATAACTTCAGGTTCTCGTAGTCTTGGAATAATCTCGTCACAAAAGGGTAATGAAGATTTGGTAATGATGTTGAACTTTCAAAAAGATTATTCATGATATGCTTTAAAAGAGTATTTAATATATGGTGTTGGAATTTTATAAAAGTAGGCTTCTCTAGTCCAATAGTTTCGAAATGTTTCTGTAATAGTTTTTTACTACGCCAATTCTTATTCCGGTATCTGCAGATGTTGTGTCAGATACAATCATTTATATGGTTGGCCACAGCTCATATTCATCCAGCACAAGCTTTATTCAATTAAATATTTTTTCACCTATTCTATTCATCAGCTTGAGAACAGCAAGTCTAACCTCTCTCTTTTCATTTTTCAAAACAACTACTTGATGCTTCATTTTCTTTATGTGCTTTCCATCAAAGTGTAAAGACCACATTTTATTTTTTAAGTTCCCCATACAATTTGCTTTCAGCTTTTCCCCTTCTTTCGTGATACCTTTGTAGACACCTCTTTGAGTTGGAGTAGGAATAGAAATTCCACCTTTTGATAAAGTTTTGCAGACCTTATGTGCTTTTTTGTTTCCTTATCAACACTAGTTTTCTTGAATGAACACTTTCAGTATCTTCAACTGTTGTACAATATCCAACTCTTCCATTTGTTGACATTTGCAGACAGTTGAATTCTTTATCTTCCTGACACAACCATTCACCTTTTTTATCGGTTATGCTAAACAATTGGGTAAAATTTTTTGTTCCGGGTTTTCGACTATCTTTGTCAAGTTTTTTCAACATATTTTCTATTTTTCTTTCTGTTGCTGATTTTCCTTGTGGAATTGGAATATTCAGCCTTTAGTAGTAGTAGTAACCGTAGTAGTTCATTTTCTTTAGCCAAAATTGCAACTATCTTCTTTCTGCTCAGTGGCGGAACTACTGGACGCAGGACCCTGCGTTGCGGGGGGGCCTACCAGCTATAGGGATTCCCTCATATAAAAAAAGTTATACTCTCAATAATATTTATACTATAAAACTCTTTTCCGCAAAAAAAACATTCTTTTGCGGGGGGGCCCAAATTTTGAAGTTCCGCCACTGTTTCTGCTATATATATATATATATATATATATATATATATATATATATATATATATATATATATATATATATATATATATATACACATATATATATATATATATATATATATATATATATATATATATATATATATATATATATATATATATATATATATATATACATATATATATATATATATATATATATATATATATATATATATATATATATATATATATATATATAATAAAATAAGAAAATAATATAAGAAAATAATATTTTCAAAAATGTAAATTTTTTGTTTTTACAAAAAAATTATTTAAAGTATCTATTTTATAAAGTTGTACGATTTTTATAGGAAGCAATGAGATAATTACTAAATCCAATAAGATGTGTGGGTTTTATAAAAAACTTAAAAAATCATTTTAATTGTATCATCCAAAAAGTACTAAAACTAATAAAGGAAGGAAATTTTCTTAAAATGAAACAGAGAACAAACGGAACCTACCGTTCACGCAAAAAAAGTGATTTTTTTTGTTCATGACAAAAACGCAAAAAAAGTGATTTTTTCTACGAAGAATTTAACGCAGTCACATTACATATGTAAAACATTTTAACGGAATACTTGAACATTGAATCGTGAGTTGCTAGGATGTTACCCCAAGGAAATTTTTTTTTTCTTTTTTTTTTTTTTAATTTGTTATTTTAGGTGCCCCAAGAAGTCCTAACGGTCTTGTCTCAGAGCAACTTTGTTATTGGTAGTCGCACAATTAACAGTGAAGATTTAACAACACTAAGTTCAGATGAGTGGTTAAATAATAATGTAATCTATTCTTACCTGCTTACATTCTAAATCTGCTAATAAACTTTAACAAGGCTGAAAAGCGTAATCTAATTTATGTCCTTCTTTCTTTTTGGCTCAACGGTGGCCCAAAAAAACCTTGATTGGCTTAATAAAGTCCGCCTATGCAAGTACAACTGAACTTTTTTGCCCCTTCACGTTAACACAACCACTAAACACTCTTAATTGACAACATTCTTGATAAAACGATTGGATTTTGCGGGTTCTTTTAATGGCGGTAATACTTCGAAGATATGTATCAGAGATATGATCTTACTGTCATCTGTTACTAATAAACTTGTAGTTTGCGACAAAGTTGCTTTTAATGCATCTCAACAATTTGATAGAAATAGTTGTGGGCATATTGTAGATCAGAAACCTGTAGCTTTATACCATCGATGCATTCGTGCTAGACTTGTACACCTACATACATGTGCGCTAACGTTGATTACAAAGATATATGTGACAATCCGTTTTGTGTTAAACCCCGTGTTGCTTGTTTAAAATGGTCATAATGCAATCAGCGCAATCGTTGTTGTCATAATGCCTGCGCGCTGTGTCAATCTTCTCACACGACATTTTCATGAAGCAAATGCATTTGAACAAATAAATGATATGTTACCGGTTAATTTTGTTTAAAATTTTGTTTATTTTTGTAAAAAAAATTTTAAACAATAAATATTTTTATCACTTGTGAACTTGGTATAATACTTATATAAGTTCGTTTGTTTATATATTTAAAAAAAAACTTTTTTTATCCCGGGCCGGCTTGTAGGTACAATCTTTTTTAGTTCTTGATTAATTTCGTTTATTAGCAGTGTATTAGCACTTGAATCCAAATGCTTTCCTCCTCCAGTGACTATATCAGGGTCACTTAATTGGTTATATTGGTTATATAAATATTGACAAGGAATATGTATAGAATGTTCAAAATTATTTGTGTCAGTGTTACTCTGTAAAGACTTGAACAACAATTGCTATTTGTTTATTAACACCACTTTTTTATTTCATATTATGTGATAGCTTTTAACTTTATCCCAATTGACTTTCAGGTTTAGTGGTTTATTTAATTCTCTACATTTATCTCTGAGTTGTTAATCCAAGTTTCTCTGGGCATCGGTTAAATCAGGATTTACATAAATATCCTTAAACTTACGGTATGATTTTTTTCATTTCTTGTTTTTTTATTTCTCAAATCGACAATTACTTTGCAATACCCTATTTAGATTTTAATCTAAACAAACGAATCAAATGATGTCTATCTATCGATACTTGATCCAATAAATCTGAAACTTGACTTTCGTCATCTTTCTAATAACCTAATAAATTATTTTATGACACCTCGATGTCATAAAGTAAATTAACTTTTGTTGCTTTAAAAAAAACAGAGAAATAAATAACCCTGGTGATAAGTTAATTTTTTAACTCTCCTTGAAATAACTTGCACCTGGTTGTGCAGCCATAGCGCAGTGATAAGAGTTCTGGCTCAGAACCTAGAGGAGAGAGGGTTGAGGCCATTGGTATTATTTATATATATATACTAAAATATTATAGAAGAAATAATACAAGTATATAATAATATAAATACTACCAAGCATTGTGTCATTAAATACTTTGTGCACAGGGTGATTTTAGAATTTAAGAACACAAAGTAAAGGAATACAATCATCTGGGCCAACAAAGGCTAAATCTTTTACAAACAGTATAGCCACAATAATTGATCTTTTAACAGAAAAGATAGGAATGCGACTATATCAACATATTTAAAAAACGACATTGGTAAAGGAGGAGGCGTGCATTTTCTAATTAAAAGCTCTTCCGCAGTGTTCTGTCATAAGATTTTAAGGATTTCTGGTAGCACCTTAAAATCCACACACACATACACAAAAAAAAAGAAACCCGTTGGAAAACCATTTTTCAGAATTATATAATACATTATGTTTAAAGTCACAGACAAATGCAGTATCAAAAGAAGAAAAGTGAAATGCTATGATAAAAGAGAAAATCTTGTTTGTTGTAAAATTGTAAAATATGATGAATGTTTACCTGCCCAAAACGTACAGAGTATCACATTAAAATTAATTTAAGCTTAGTACGAAATTAAGCTTAATACGAAACACAATAATGAAAATATATTTTTAAAAAATTAATTTTTTTCATTTCTATTTTGAAATTAATGTTTGATTTTTAATACTAAATTTTTCAAAATTATTTTAAAGGTTATGTTAAAAAATAATTAAAACCTTACAAAAAAATTATCTGTAATTTCATTAGGTATTATTATTGCATTTAGATTTAAAAAATTAATCTTTAAATTTTGCCCCTAACTCTTCTTTTGAACAGCATTAGTTTTGGCAAAAAACAAAGAAAAAAAAATTACCATTTTAAAAATGTTTAAACTATAATATATTACTATTTATATATATTATATATAAATAGTGAGCTAGATCTATCTGTATAGTACTTTTACGTACTTAAGATAAAATATTTTGTTAAGTAAAACAATAATTCTTTTATGCATGAAAAACAACTAGGATAAAAAAGTGTTTAACTCTTTATTATCTTCATTATAATATTATGAAGACTTCATAATATTATAAATTCTTCCAAGATGCTTGCTTATTTCGTCAACAATAAAGAACCATTCCATGCCGTAAGTTTCCCCTTTGTTCTTGTCTGGATGATAATGAATTAATGATTTTTTGTATTCTTCTTTTAAACACCAATCGTTTTTTTTTTCCATTACATTCTTATCAAGTTTGTGATCAGAATCCTTGGGGGGATAGTTTTCATAAATAAAGATCAAAAAGTGCTTATTCGACTTAGTTGAATTTTCTCTTATTTTGTTTAAGTCTTCCTTTATTTTGCTTATGACCTTTTCTTTTTCCACTTCCTTTGCTTTTTCTTCTTCGTCAACAACTTCTTTTTGAAACTTATTGATTGCATTGACAGCTCTTATATACCAAGCTTCAGCTGTAAACAATTTTGGTTTCATAGATTCTGCTAAATCAAGAGCATGCATGTAATATTGCTTCGCCCGTTCTTTAATTAGAAGAATTTTTTCGTAGATGACGCCGATTATACTTGTAATTTCAGCTTCTAGCTCAATATCTTTTGTTGCAGTTGCTTTTATTGCAACACGATACATATCAATTGCGTTCCAGGCTAACTCTATATCAACTGACTCACTTTCGTTAATACATTTATCATAGGTTAAATCTGCTTCGTGTTTTGCTTTAAGCCCGTCAAGAATGCATATTTGCAGATCAATACTAGTTTTTAGCTGATCGAGATCGCTCCAAAAATTAAATTCTACATCAATGTTTTCTGCATATACTTGTTTATTATATCTAAAACATTCTTCGTAGAAATAATTACAATCGTTTATTGACTTGAAGCTTTCGTTAATTTGTTTTTCATCTAAATATTTTATTGAAATTTGGTGATGTAAGTTCGAAAGTCGATAAGTTACGTGGACTTTAACAATTTTTAAAATTTTATCATGTTGAATTAACTCATTTAAAGAAGATATTTGTAGAGAGTATTCTTTTTCAAATAAAAAACTGTTAATATAAAGTTCAATGGCTTCAATTGACTTTTGAATAATATGGATGTATCCATTCGTTTGGTTTATTGATCGAGTTTTCAAGAGAAAGAAAGAGACTGCTTTGGCAAACTTGCATATAAAAGTTGAATGTACGTAATGGTTTTTCATTTGCCCTAGATAAGTAAACTCTAAAAAAAAAAAAATTAGTTAAGGGATCACGGCAGCTTTTTTTGATATTTTAAAAAAATAAATTTATTTTAGAATAGTAACAGCATAAATTTCTGTTAATGATCAAATGTTCGGTTATTTAATGTTTCTAGGCTCCGATCACTTAAATTGTTTGCTAAAAATATTTCTTTTAAACAATCGTAAATGTACCCAAGTATAAAGTTTGTTCTATGTTTAAAAGTAATTATTTTCAAACATCTAAGACGGTGGTGCAATCTATGGAGTTAATCGTCATTAATCCTTTTTATCTCTTTTTACAAGCTTACTAATATTTTAATTTTTTTTTTTTTTTTTCTATTTTTATTTTTAAAAAAATCATTTGATTCTTTAAAAAAAGTTTTTTTTAAAAAAATTTAAATTTTTTATGTTAAGATTTAAAATAAGTTAAACATTTATTGATTTTTGTTAAATAAAAAATAAAAAAAGAATAAAAAATAAACAAATGCCTAATATGGTTATAAAAGTGACGTTCACTAATATAAATCATATGGTTTATTAATTTAAAATAAAGTTTAGAATTAAGATCGGCAAATAAGTTTGTTTTATTTTCCTTTTATTTAAAGGGGTGACAATACATTGCTTACTATATCTTCATTTTTGAAAATAAACTTAACAATTGGATTCTTTAAGTTTAACATTTATGGTTTTAAAAAGTTATTCTTTATTAATACAAATCTTTTTTAAAGTGGACTGTGTTATACGTCTATTTTAAACATTTTTCAGAAGAGTAATTTAAAATAATTACTTGAAAAGATTAAGAGCTGTAACGCCATGATTTTTGTATGCACTATTTCTTTCCTCATAGCATGTTGCTGAATTAATAGCTTCTTGGTACAACTTTAAAGCATCGCTTAGCCGTGTTTCCTTCAAGACTGGTGCAAGACCATCTGATATTGATTTAAAAATATCATTTCCTTGCGTTCTCTTTCTTACGCTCAACGACACTGCCATTGTAAACTTATGTGTTTTGCAAAATGCAAAGCTTTACAAATAAATATTAATGACTAATTAAAACGATATTTTTTGTTAAAAAATGTTAAAAGTTTTCAATTTTTAATAATCTAAATTTTGAGTTTTAATACAAGGAATGTTTTAAGTATTTAATAAACTTTTATAAAAGAAACAGAGAAACGTAAACAATATCACGTGAAAAAACTTTGTTTGATTATTTTATTATTCTTAACTTTTTTTATTTCGCTGATTAAACAATATTACAATTTTTTCTATAATGATGAAAAAAATAAATAACATCATAAACATAAAAACCTTGATAAAAAACGTTTTTAATTTTTTTTTTTTTTTTTTTATTATTATTATATATATATATATATATATATATATATATATATATATATATATATATATATATATATATATATATATATATATATATATATATATATATATATATATATATATATATATATACAGTGTCTCAAAAAATTATCCGACCGAACATTTTTTAAAATAGTTTTCCTAAAAAAAGTGTTGTATTTTTGTAAATTTCGACATTTTTGGTAAACTCAAGATTAATAAAAATAAAAAAACATGATTTTAAATAGATTTTATTTATTTTAGTGTAAAATATGAACCACAAGGTTTTCATTCTTAAAATAAAGGAACTTAGGTCGTTTTTTTATTGTCAAAAAAATATTTGACTAAATATATTTTTTGTTCCATAATAAATTATTAAATAAGAAAAAAAATTATTTTAATACTTTGCAGGGCCTCCCTTTGCTTGAATTACAGCTTCTAGACGTCTAGGCATTGATTAGACTAAAGATTTTGTTTCTTCTGGTTGAATCTTTTCCCAGGCTTCTTTAATTGCCACTTTGAGGTTTTCATTTTTGGAAAATAACCGATCTCCAATTTTTGGTCAAAAACTTCCTACAAATGTTCAATGGGTTTAAGATCCGGTGATTGCGCGGGCCATTCCAACACCTCAACGTTATTTTCAGCAAATCACTCCTTGGTTTTAGTGGCACTATGCTTGGAATCTTTATCTTGCTGAAATGTAAAATCAGATCCTAGCCGAAGTTTTCGAGCATATGAGCATATTTTGCTTTAAAATGTTTCTGTATTACACCTGATCCACTATAGTATCAATAAATTGAAGTTTCCCAACACCCTTCCAAGCCATTAAACCCCATACCATCACGTTACCGCGACCATACTTGACAGTTCCTCTCACGCAGCTTAATTTGTAGGCTTCTCCGGCTTTTCTCCAAACTTTTTGGGCTCCATCAGATGGCTTTAAGTTGATTCGTCGCTCCACAGGATCTTTTTCCAGAAACTTAACGGCATGTTTTTGAACTTCTTTTTTTTTTGAATTTCTGATTGTCTGATGGGATAATTTGATTCCATATTTCTCTTCAGCTTGCTCAGCCAGTTTTCGAATAGAAATGAAGCGATTTTTCTTGACTTGTATAATTAAGTTTCTATCAAAACTCTTGGAAGTCTTTTTTTTGCGACCCTGTCCTTCTTTTGCGGCTGTTGTTTCGATCAAGTTATACTTCTTCATTATGTCGGATACTGTATTATGAGGAACTCCAGTCTCTTGCTGCACCTGACGATAGGTTTTACCCTGATTGACTAGATCGACAGCTAAATTTCTCTGAGAATCAGTCCATTGATGTTTACCTCTTACCATTTTACTTCAAAAAACATGAAACTTTTTTTTTTATACAAAACTTTTTTTTTACTACAAAAAAACAGTTTTTTGTAATGCAATTTCATTAATTGTATAAAAATTTGCTTAAATATTTCAACAAATTTGCACATAAAGTTAAATAAACTTACCTATATATATATATATATATATATATATATATATATATATATATATATATATATATATATATATATATATATATATATATATATATATATATATATATATATATATATATATATATATATATATATATATATATATATATATATATATATATATATATATATATATATATATAAATATCTCTCTCTCTCTCTATATATATATATATACATATATATATATATATATATATATATATATATATATATATATATATATATATATATATAAATATGTATATATATATATATATATATATATATATATATATATATATATATATATATATATATATATATATATATATATATATATATATATATATATATATATATATATATATATATATATATATATATATATATATATATATATATATATAGATAGATAGATAGATAGATAGATAGATAGATAGATATATATTTATATATATACATACAAATTACAAGCTAGCCGACCAGCCAACATTGACAGACGGATACCGTATGGTTTTTGTCTGGGCTTACGGGAACGGGATTTTGACGGGTAAGTGTTTTGGTTTCCAGACGGATACCATATGGTAATATAATCAAGCATATTTGCTCGTTAGGGTTTTATCTGGTTTTTATCAGGGCCGAATAACCTGGGGATTTGACGGGTTTCCCATAAGGTTCCCAAAAGGTTTAAAAAAATCATAACAAAACTTACTCGATGGTTGCCATTTTTAATTCGTATTGTGCGTGAAATAAGATTAAAAATTTAACTTTTATGCATTACATTTTTTGAATACATTATATTTACATTATAATTAAAAATAATTTTTTTTTGATGTGTTTTGTCACTGTAAAACTCATTTCATTGTAATGTAAATAACATGTAAATTTCATTTATTTATTATCATTATAAAAGAATTTTTATATATACATATAAATACATATATACTATTTTTTAAATGAATTTACAAAGTTCAACATATTTGTTGAACATATGTTTCAGAAACTATTAAACATGTAGTAAATCTTCCATTGAGACACTGTTTGCATTTTTAAAATGATCAAAATATAAAGTTTTGTTTCTGTTTTTTTTTTAATTTTTTATTGATATAAACTTTTGCATTCAAACTTTAGTTATAAAGCTTTAATTTAACTTAATAACTTTTACATAAATAACAATAAATAAGAAAAGATGTTAGTTATTATATAGATTATAACCACATGCTTATTTATTATAATTGAGTTACAGTAAGTTAAACAATATAAAATGTTAAGTTCCAGGCAATAGGTCTTATATGATATGTATCTTATGTATATCTTGTATTTTTCAGCATGTTAAAGAATATTTCTGCATGGTGCACTCTGACTGTTGACAATATTTGCATATTGATATGAATAAAAGTGACTTCAACAACCAGAATGTGTTTTTGATAAATATTAATAATAACAGGTTAGTAAAAATAATTATAGTAATAATTGCAATAACTTTTTATTATTAGAATTAGTGAGAGACTTATGTATAATAGAGCTACATTAACTTTGGGGGACAAATATAATAACTTGAGTAAATATTACCGTTGTTTATAACCTTGATTAGAGTAATGTAAGTAAATATTATTTTTATCTAAAGAATATTTGGCAAAAGTCAGTATTTCCTAAGTATTAAATATTATAAAAAAACATGTGTTTAAAAAAACTTTTTTAAATGTATCATAAAATAAAAAAATAAGTATTTGAGTAAAAAAAAAAACACATTTATTATTATAATGTATATACATCACATTAACTATGTTGTCTATAAAGTAGGGGTTGCAGCTGATATTTAAGCTTCAGCTATACACTCATTAGCTTCAGATTAATGCTGAAGCTGATCAAGTCAGTTTAATCATCTTGATAGCTGATAGTAAAAGAGAATAATACTCCATAAATATTTTATATAAAATATATTTTTATATAGGAATTTATTCAATGAAAATCTAAAATTTAAACATACATGTAAATTTTAAATAAAATTTGCCAAAAGTTGTTGCTATTTATAAATGTTGCCATCAGAGCCTAGGCCTAGGACTTACAATATTAGGGGACCCAAATTATGTTTTTAGAAATTTGTTTAAAAAGTGGTGTACAAAAATCTAATTCCATTTTTTATTATCTTAAGGGGACCAACTATCTTTTGTTCAAAAAGAGTACACTTTGCAGATATTTCATAGGTAAAAAAAAAAGGAAGATAAAACCATAAAAATCTTTATTTTTTTTTTAAAACATATTTTTCGTCAGAGTGGATTTTTTTTGCTAGATGAGGATGTTCGTCTAATAATGTAGCTGCATCCGAACGTATTAAATTTCATATTAAATTTGACTGTTAAGACGGCATATAATGTTTTTACAGAGAGTTGCAAGTTCTCACTGCTCCAATAATCATTCCTTAGTGAAAATACCTTTTCAACAGCAGCATTAGTGCCTGGACAACATAAAGAAATTTCTGTTAAAACTTTTAAATTTTCATGTGGGATATGTTCTACTCTAAAATGCCGAAAGATTTCTACCCATCTTTTTTCAAGTTCTATTTTCTCATTGTTCTATTTCTTCAATTTTTCTTCATTTAAAAATAAATTTACTCTTCCAATTTCTTCAAAAAGAAAATTGTCATTAATAACAATATCTTTTACTTCCTTTATTACAAATTCGACTGCTGAAGAAACTTTTTTCCATTAAACTTTACTATTTATAAGGGTCCATTTAAAACAATTCAATGCTCTTAATTTCATTATCCATTCTTCGATATATTCATAGCAAATTTTATAAAAATTTTTAACTTCTATTAAAATTTTTTTTTTTTTCCGGGATTGGAATCTTCCAAAACGGTCAGTTTATAGGCTTTAATATAGCTTCTTTTTTTATTACTTGTATTAATGTAGTTTTCTTTCTTTCTTATTATTTTTTATTTTATTTGTTTATTTTATGAAGGTGTCGCTCCATTGACTTGTTTTTAATATGAGTGACACCAAACATAAATTTTTAAATTATAATTAAGTTTGTAATTTTTGATTTTATGGTTAATTAACCATAAGCGCATGCGTAGTATGTACAGTAAAGTTTTTGTTATCCTTTTATTTAATTAAATAAATGGATAAAAAACTTTGCTGTACATACTACGCATGCGTCAAGACTGTCAAGCATGGCGTACATACTGCACATCAAAGATCAGCCTGAGGATTACATATGCAAATGTTGGATCGATCTCTTTTCACAAATGTAATTTTGACATTGTTGGAAAAAGAGGTCTGTAGTATCTATCTATCTCTCCAGGTTCATAATATGGCCTCTCAATTGTGTTGAAAATGGCAGCCATATGTGCATTCAAAAAAATATCAAAAAGTGATTTTTCAAAAGTCAATTTTTCAAACGCCATGTATTAAACATGATTTTGATAGCAAATTCAATGCTGAGAACAATGCCACAAACAGAATTAGATAATTCGCTATAGTTTGTCTCTAATCTCGAAAAAACAAAGGCAAAAGAGTGAGGGGCGGCAACAGAAAAACGTCAATTAGAGACAAACTAACCATCAGCCGTCTCATGTGATACATCAATTTGATAGAGAATTATACGGTGAGTATAACAACGCAAACATTTTTTACGGCTACCGTGCTGTTCGTCCGCAATTTGCAAAAAACCATGTCACCGGACAATATTTTTGGACGAAAAAACGTTGTCTAGAGACAAACTATATAACAGCCGTCACATGTGTTACATTAATCCGATAGGGAATTAAACGGTGAGTATAACAATTCAAAAATTTTTCACGGCTGTCGTATTGTTTGTCTTTATTTTACAAAAAATACCATAAAAAACAAGTTTTATGACAAAAAAACTTGGTTAATAGACAAGGTATTTAGCAGCAGTCACATATTATACCTCATTTCAATAGAGAATTTAATGGTGAGTTTAACAGTGCAAACACTTTGAACAGCTGCTGTATATTTTGTCCTTAAACAGTTAAAAACTGCAAAATAACAAATCAATAATCACTAACCCATTTAAAACCAAAAACAGGGTTTTGGCGGAATATATTAGGGATAGTGTCAGCGCGGAATTTATCCAAACCCGTATAAACCAAGACAAATTTAGCAGCAGCCATCACATGTGATACATATATTTGATAGAGAATAAAACGGTGAGTAAAACAACGCAAACATTTTTTACGGCTGCCGTGCCGTTCGTCGGCAATTTGCAAAAAACCATGTCACTGGACAATATTTTTGGACGAAAAAACGTTGTTTAGAGACAAACTATACATCAGCCGTCACATATCATACATCATTCCGATAGAGAATTAAACGGAGAGTCTAACGGTGATATCACTTTTAACGGCTGTGCAATAGCTTGTCTTTAATCGAGTAAAAACCGCAATAAAAACAGGGGGGGACGCGCCAGAAAAACACTATTTAAAGACAAACTATGCTACAAGCGTCAAAACGGTATGCGCCGTTAAACTCGCAGTAAAATTCTCTATCAAAATGATGTATTCCATGTAACAATCTCGAAGGTCAATTTTTGACCCTTTTTTCCTGATGGTCCCATCAACATAAATTCAAATCACTGTCAAAATAATTTTAAATATTTAATTAATAAAATTGAAATGAAATAATATATAAAAAAAATGTTTTAGAAATACAAATGAGTACAAAATTATACAAATGAGTACTTTCAGAGTACAGGATTTGAAAAAAGTACGGTTTGTGAAAAAAGAGTAAAAAAACTCAGTAAATGAGAATAGCAGGTCACCTTAATTGTCTACATAATTTTTCGGTAGATTTCAAAGATCTTGCAAAAGATGGT